ACTGTCTTTGCTAGAAGAGTGAATGGATTGTTTTAAAACCTCAGAACAACATCTGTGAGCCAAATGGTCCTTTGAAGTGTGAGAAGGGAAATGTTTTAATTAGTTAGGATGTATCTGTCTATCTTTCTTCCATTTTTCATGCAGCAAATGAAAGCTATATCTCATTCTACCTGGAAATGTTGATGTTAATGTGCCATAAAGCATAGATTTCCATCATTCAACACTCTTTTTGAGAATAGCAGGCATATTCTATAGAAAGTTCTTTATTTACCTCACCATGTAAGTTACGAATGACTCATATTTTTCCTGTAGGTATATCTGCCAAAACTGGGCAGTGGTTTGGCAATGGTTTGGAATCAGTTCATTAGTTGTGAGGGGCAAAAGTCAGTCAATATATATTTTTTCTGACAACATCAGCAATTATTTCTTCACTAAAGAGCCTTGATCTGAAATCAAAACTACTAGTTTATTTTCCTCTCTTTGCTGATAGTTTCCTACATCTATGAATGCCCCTTGAGACACTGTTATTTTAATTGTAGAGTCTGTTGCACAATTTTGAGAAGGTTTTCTATTTGCCTTCTTAATAACTAAGTTTAAGATTTAGTTTCATTTATGATTTCTTCTTTTTCCTTGGAGAGTACCTGAAGGATGGGATGCCATACAGAGAGACCTTGACAGCCTGGAGTAGTGGGTGTGTTGGAATTTTTTGTGGTTTAATAGAGTGAGTACAAGGTGCTGCACCTGGCCACTGCCAGCAGGTTGAGGGAGGGATTATTCCCCTCTTCCCTGCTCTGGTGGGACCCTACTGGCAGTTCTGCATAAGCTCTGGGGTTCCAGCACAGGGAGGACCTGTTGAAGCCAGTCCAGAAAAGGCCACTCAGTTGGTATCAGAGGGATGGAGAACCTCTCCCATGAGGAGAGACTGAGAGAATTGGGATTATTTGGCCTGGAAGAGAGAAGGCTTCAGGCTGACCTAATTGCAGCCTCCAGTATCTGAAGGGAATTTACAGGAAAGATGGGGCAATAGCATGTACTAACAGGACAAGCAGGAATGGGTTCAGATGGAAAGAGAGCAGATTTAGATTAGACATTAGGAAGAAATTCTTTACTGTGAGTAGAGTGTTGAGGCACTGGCACAGGTTGCTCTGGGAAGCTGTGGATGCCTCATTTCTGGAGGTGTTCAGCGCCAGGTTGGAAGGGGCTTTTAATAACCTGATCTAGCAGAAGGTTTTCTTGCCCATGGCAGTGGGGTTAGAATAAGATGACGTTTCAAGGTCCCTTCCAACTCAAACTCTTCTGTGATTATATGAGTATGTGATTATGTGCTAGAAGTCTTTGACTCTAAAGGTCAAATGCTATCTTTATTACTATTTTTTGTAAAATTTCTTCAAATATTATCCCTGCTTGGGTTAACAGTGCTATCAGATTCAGTAATTTTGCATGAAGTGGATTTTTCAGTTGCATGTAGTAATTTGGCAAGAAAAAATGAGACTGATTTAAAAATACTGAAGTTTTGGTATTGCTTTTGGCATTAGAGATTGCATGTAAAAGGCTATTCAGTATAAATGGATGTACTTACACTGTATTACTGTTGTACTATTTACAATGCTTTTCTCAATTTAGTTCTTGTGCCTGGAAGGAGGCTAAACGGATGAAAGTGTTTAGCTGCCGTTTTGGATAGGATGCAAAGCTTTTCCATTGCAGAAGTACTGAAAATCTTGGGAACTGATGACCAGACACAACCTTTTGAGACTTGGGAATACTGGATACTATTTATGATTAACAAAGTGATGTTAAATGTTACTCACTGTTTTTGTAATAAAGGTTTGAATGTGAAACTCTTGAAGAGTGGAGAGTTAGTGTTATATTTTATGTTTCAGCCTAGTCTCTGAATAAATCTGCATTTAATAATTTCACACTTTTCAAGGACAAAAGAATAAATTATAGTAATTTTGGAGTATTGGGTGTTTTTTTGTTTGTTTTGGGATGGTTTTTTGGCTTGTTCTTTTTTACTTCTTGACAACAGGAAATTGTTCAACATGGGGTTATAAAAATATGCTGTATATTTAATTACAGGTAAATATCAAAAACTGTGTCTGGATTGCCTTGTAACTAGGTGAACTGAATAACACTCTTTGGGAATTGAGAGATAGTCAAGAGTACCAGGACAGTACAAAAGAGCAGGAAACATGGACACCAGGCAATATCTGAGGTTATCAAAGACTAATTTTCTGTGAACCTGTTAAATGTTCTTATCTTTCAAGTGTTTGTTTCACTGTTTTTCAAACAGTAAAAAACAGTATGAAATGATACCAAGTCATTTATTCCTTACAGTCCTGTATGTTGAGAGTTATTGTACTTGGCATGATTTCAGATGAGTATTGTTGTTTTGTAAAAAAAAAAAAAAAAAAAAAAAAAAGAAGAAAAAAGGAAAGAATCTGCTTTTATTTATTTACGCAGTTGTTACAACTGATTTGCAGCACAAATGCAAGCTTCAGCTCTTACTTTGCTCCCCTTTTCACTTTACTCACTGCACAGATAACAGTTTTGAACTGGGAGCAAACACTGATGTTACTAAGAATAACCCAACCTGATGTCTGTCATGGGCAGCTGTATTTTATAATATTAGCCTTCCCCAACCATATCTTTATAGCTCACTACTGCAAACTTAGTTACATAACAATTAAGTAAGTTGAAGAGTCCATGGGCCACTGGAATGGCTGAATTTTGTCTCCTTGGGATAGAAGCCAGTTGTCATTATGTGGGTGAAATGGCAATCCTGACTCCTGTTCCTAAATTTAAATTACAGATAGAATTCTCTATAACTGTTGTGCTAAAACATTTTGGCATGCATATAAATAGGATCAAGCACAAAAGGGGTCTCTTCCTCTCCCTGGTGCCAGGGGAAGGATTACTGCTGTAAATCATAATTTTTCTATGTTAAAGGTATTTTCTGTACAGATTGGAGAAGACTCCCAAGAGTAATGAAACCAAAGAAGGCAAAAAAACCCAGGTATGTTTTATCTTTTATGAAGCAAATATTACACAGTAGTTGAGAGACAGAAGCCATACTGGAGGTAGTTAGAGGGAAAAAAATGCTAGAAATGTTAGTCTAAATCATTAAGGCTTTTGGCATATTTTTTTTCTACATATTTTATTAGTCTGTGTATTTGTCCTGGTTTAGGGCAAAATTTGGGAGAAAACCTCCAGTGGGGCTCCCCCCGGGAAGCAAACCCACGTGGCCCTTTTTTTCCCACCCCCCAACCGGTTCGGGAAGAGATTTCTCTGAGAGAAGTGGAAAAAAACCTGTTTATTTCACAGGCACAGCACTACCCAGCACAAAAATGAACGATATCAAATTACAAAACGTCTAGCCGTTCAGAAGAGATGACAAGCTTCAGAGGGTCTCTTTCCTGTGGGTGTTCGCTCTGTTATCAGTCCCTCTGGCGCTGGAAAATGCCGCTGCCCAGGCTGGGCTCCCGGTAGTCCACGCGTGCAAGCTCCCGGTGCTCCCCCGAGTCCCCAGTCCAGAGCAGGTTCGATTCGTTTCAGAAAAGGGAAAGAAAACAGTCCAGGAAGACCTCTCTGCTCCGGCTAGTTGGAAAGCCAAGGCGATCTGTGTCTTGTTGTCTGTCTGTGCTGTAGTCAAAACTCCCGATGCGGGGGGAGCAAGTACAGTCTCTGATAACAGACTCGGTGCTTCTTTTCCACTCACTTTTACTCTGAGATGGAATTTTAAGAATACAAAACCTGTGTCTGGGTTAGGTGGACGAATGGGGATACAATTTAACATCATAATCAACCCAGGACAGTCTGCCTGTCTATTGTGATTTTTGCTTTGCTTCTGTAGGATGTTTTAACTTACTACAACAGACTTGTCTTAGTTTTTTCTGCCTTTTGTGTTGATGCAGTATATTAAGATACAAGATATGTAATAGTGAAAAGTTAAAAAAAAAATCCACAAACCTTTTAAATTTTGAAAACTTTTATCTTTAGTCAGCACTCATTCTTCTATTCAACAGTAACTGTCCAGGTTTCCTTTATATGTTTGGTTTCTCAATTATCTTGTTAATAATTTGGTTGACTTTTGCATTTTTTTAAACCTTTTATATGTAATTTAATGCGGGTTATTTTCTGTTTTCCCTGATTATACGTTTTTATTTTCAGCTTTTGTCTGCAGAATTGTGAATCACATCTAAAGTTGGAACTGTTAGTGGTAGTTCTTAATGGAAAACAGATTTTTATTACACAGCATCATCTGTTTTTCAAAGTGTTTCCTAGTATGCATAACTTATTTTAAGTTCTCTGTAGAAATCTGTGGCCTCCTGTGATATGAAACGCGTGGCCTCCTGTGTTTAGCTGTCTGTTTATATATAATTGTTTGCTTTCTTATTCTTTTTCTCCAAGTCTTTCATGTGTCATTCCTCAGTTCACAGATAAAATAGAAAAAGGGATGGGAATGTACGAAGTCACAGAGACAGGCTCAGTTGGAATCTTTGTTCCTATTTAGAGCATCACTGGGAAGCACGGTACTGAAGGTAGACTGTAAGATTCAACTGAAAATGAATTATTTATTTGCAAAATGTCCAAAGGTGCGACCAGAATATACCAGGTTTTATTCCAAAAGAAGAACCCATGGGCTTTTATAAGCCTGTGTGCAATAGTTTTTGCCCTGAGATCCAATGAAATAATAAATGAAGATTATTATCGCTTGTTTAAAAATGTTGTGATTATCATAAAAAGAGAATTACTGCTCACTGGAGGAGTTTTTCTTTCTTCAGTACCAGTTTCTCTACTGGCTGTTAAAAGTACATTCCTTTACATGTTATAATAGCAAAGATCAGCAGACCATCAGACTTTGATTGGATTAAGAAACAGGTTCCCCTGAAAGCAAAAGCTATGTTGGTTATAATATATATATATATATATGTAAAATATATATATATACACACACATATATATGTAAAATATATATATACATATACACACACACACACATATATAACCCTATGGGTTAGGGGTTTTTTGTGGATTCATGATGATGTATTTAGGGTTTTTTTTGTGGAATCCTGATGATACAGAGTTACATATGAATCAGGAAGTTTGTACATAGCTGATCAGTGACCCATTAGAGCTCCTGTACATGTCTTTGTTGTATTTTGAGGACAGATAACATAGGTGACACTTTAACCATGGTGGAACAAAGGTGAACAAATCACCAGACTTTGCAGAAAAACTCAAACCAGGGTACTGTTCTACATTTTTAGCTTGCAGGAGTGATTTTGGGAGCAGTACAGTTCCATGCAGAGGGGCAGCTTTACTTTTGCGCACTCCCCTCCCTCTTTCTAGTTTCCCTGAATGTTTTAACTGAAGACCTAACCATCTGCCTTCTCAGTGACAAAACTTTGGGTAGAATTCCATATCTCTCCCACACTGACCCTGGGCTGTGAAATGCAGTATTAGATACCAGCAGTACCTGCTGAAAAAACCAAACAACTCCATAAATAAATAAGATAAATAACAATGTCATCTGGCTTCAGTTGACATTGTAGGCCAGCCATATGCATAGGAATATAGCACTCAAATGTATGCATTTTAGCCCAAGTACTGCAAGACTAGGTTTTTGGAAATTAGACTGGATTGGATTCCATTGCACCTCTAATGTATATAATGTAGGGAGCTATTTTGCTTGAAGTTCTAACAATGGGTCAGTGTTTCTAATTTATAAGGGACAAAGATGCCCAGCTTTTAAAGGCAAATCTCCCAGGTCTATTTATTCTATATGCATTATCTCTAAAAGCCAGACAGTTTGTGCAGAGATGACAGTTCTGAATTGCACTTTCTGCTTGTTCTCCTAGAAAGTCTTCATTCTAGATGTGTTTGCTTTGATGACACTCATGTTTTTGCAAAGCAGCTTGCCCGCCCTGAGCTCTGTGAGTACTTTAGTCATATAATCCTTTCCTAGGCAAAACACTGGAATAAACTCAATGTTATTTATGACAAATGCTTTTGATAAAGTATGGGTGTTTTCTCAGCAGTTCCCGGTGTTCTGCTTCATTGAGTATTTGGGGAACTTTGGTTTAGGGTGCTGCCATTCAAGTAACTCTTACTTGGGCATGTGGAATTATGGGTTATTTTTGATCTTTGCTCCACCACATAGTTAATCAGGGAGTAATGTGATAAAGAATATGTCCATGAATCAGGGGACTAAGTAGAAATACAGAACATAGATTCATTAGATGAGAGCCAACTGTAGTCCAAAAGCCATGTAGCTATAGTAATCATGTCTTCTTTTAGAGCTAATGAACTTCTGCATTTTTTTTTACATCTACTTGTCTGAAGCCCCATCATTAATGTCCTGTATAAATCGGTAAAAATGAGTTTTTAATCTTTCCAGGATGATTAAACATAACAATTGAGATTTTGTTCTAGCTTCTTAAAATATTTTAACTGTATAGGTGACTATTATTTTGTGAATCTGAATGTCATACTTTAGCCCAGCCTTTGTGAACTACTTGTTCAAACTGTGTTTCAGACTGGCTTTCTAGGCATTTCTTACACAAATCAGACATTTACATCTCTATGAATGATGTAGCTCAAAGTCTAAGGTTGTTTTAATACAGACAGTATGGGACCTCCATGGCATACTCAGGATGAATTTACTCCTAAGAATAAAACAAGAAAATCTGTCTTTTTCACGTTAAAAAAAAATAACAGTAATGTATTTTACTTCACCTGGTGCAAAACAGAAAAGGCAAAAAAAGCTCTGAGCCTAAAAGTAATCTGGATGTGATTAAAAAAATTGAGGTAAAATATGCATACCATTTCTAAATTTTATAATAGAAATTGAAGGAAAATGAAACCTAGTATCTTTATTAGTACAAACAGAATAACCAGCACAGAGTTTTTCTGGTTGTGTCTTGTTACTCTGACAGACAACTGTTCTGCAGCATGATGGTGCAGGGGTTAGGGTAAGAATAGTCTGGTTGTGGAGAAATTACTTTCTTTGCTCTTGTTTGTACCTGAACACAACAACTAATTGCTCTTCACTGGGTAGAAATACTGCCTAATGTGAGCAGTAGAGCTACTGCTGGAGCTTACAGGAAGGACTGGTGCCCGTGCTTTTAAATCTGCTGCTGTTTCACCAATCTACTGATGTTAGAACTTAAACAAGTAAGTTGAGAAGGATGAAACATACAGAAACTTAGGAAGTGATCTGTTTTGTAGGCAATTACTTCCCATATGACAGTGGAACCTTAAAGGTGAACCAGCTTTGTATTTTTCCTCCTGGTGATCCACCAGTTGTTTGAAACAGTTCTATTACCAAATACAGTATATGGTATTGCTTTGTCAAGTATGACATGGCCTTCTGTCAACTGTTCTAACAGTGTATTTTAAAGGGAAATAATAATCTCAGTTTATTATACAGGGTATGGATTTTTATGGCTGATGCTTGACCAAGTAAATCCTTATTAAGTTCTTGTGCTTCACATCATATTGGTTTAAATATTGACACACAACATTTGCACAGCATTGCTATGCTAACTGTCTTGCAGTTAACTGTATCTTAACTCTTTAGTAGTATGGAGGACATGCTGTTGCTGTAACATGGGATTCTCTTGTTAAGAGATTGTTTTGTGACAGGAGCTAGAAAAGAAGGATGAAAAGGAAGAAAAATCTGGAGAAAGACAAAACAAAAGACAAAGAAGGTGATGAAGAAGCAGAAGAACCAGAGGAATATGATGAAGAAGACCATGAAGAGGTATAATGTTAGCTTCTTATTTACATGGAGTCAGATCCCAGTCATTGATAGCGTATTGGCTGGCAAAGACATGTCCATAGCTCCCAGTAAGGCAGAGTTGTTGTGGAAGAAATTATTGCATTCATGATCTTTTTTCTGCTACACTGTATTGTAAATTTAAGTGAGTGTTCTAGACTCGTTACTCACAAAGAGCTCTGAAAAAAGATCTTGTACACAAGAATGTGTTCTGACACGATCAATACAATCACTCCTTTTCATCACTAAAAGAGTGATGCCTGTTGTTTCATATATATCGAAACTTCACTACAAGATTTTTCTTTTTCTTTCTCAAGAATCTATTATTGTTTGAAAGTGTGGGTGCTCAAGTGCAGTTCAAATCATATTTCTTCTATAAATTGTCTTCTCTACACACAGTGATTTTTTTTCATTGGTTTAGGAAAATGACTACATTTTTTTCCTGTTTTGAAGATGGAGACGCCTTTGGTGCTGTCAGTGATGGCAATACGGTTAAAGCAACACAGTAGCTGTTGTTTCTACCTGTTACACTGTTCCAGCCTTATATTACTTGAAGCAGAATTCCTGAGGTAGGCTGAGTATCAACGACTTAATGCTTTAGCTGTCTTGGTTTTAAGGAGATTCTCCAAAAACACATTGGAGTTTAACTGTACTATGCTGTAAAAGAGGATAGGGAATCCTTTGTTTTGCTCTTTTGCGAAGTGTTTTGCAGACATGTCTTTTTAAGGTCCTCTGGAATGCCTAGAGTAAGCTTTATGCCATTGCGTTTCCTCTGCACAAAACCAAAAAGTATGCATTTTACTAGAAATGATGTCTTGCACTACTCAATTCTATGCCTCAACAGTAAAATCTTGAAACAAATAATGAAGTTCTTGATGACCACTGCAAAAAAAAATACATATAGTCTTTATGGACATAAACTGCTTGTTGGCAGCTGACTCCTCTGAAGAACTTTATGTAAACTTCTGAGTTCAGGTAACAGAAAACAATTGACAACTATGTACTTCCATATAAACTGACTTGGAAGGACCTTGGTAATATAGGCAAATAACATGACAATAATTTGAAGGACCATTTGTCTAGTTAGAACATAATGCCTTTAGTATTTTGGTAAAAAGGAACACAGTAAAATATATTCCCTTTATGAATCAGCATAAACCATAATTAAGGATTATTTGGCTTAGAAGGAATATATGGCAGAATTTAAGAAATTATGGATGCCTGCTTTAGACTGGTGCACTCACTAGTGATGAAAATTTGAGCCCTTTGCCTCAGTTTCTCCACCTGTTAGGGCAATACTTTCTTACCTAGAGCTGTAAAGTGAGCTGGCAGATGATAGTTATCTATGTAATTGTTGATGTACTTGTTTACTTTCCTACAGAACAAACTAGACAGAAACAGATAAAAAAAGCAATAATAAACCCCTAAATATAGGAAAGGAATGTGGTATTTTAATGCATGTTTGAATTTGAAAAATAAAGAGAATGCTAAGAAAAAGCTGAATGTTTGGAAACATCCTTTTTATTTGAGAACCAACAGCTGCAGGGTTGAAATAGTGTTATTAGTGAGATTAGATATTTGAAGAAAACTGTGACAGCACATTCTCTGTATCTTAGTTTTTTGATAGCAAAAAATACTATTTTATTTCTACTACATTATTAGCAATCAGGGGTTTTGGGCTTTCTTTGTTGGTTGGTTTTGAGGTTTTATTTTCTTTGAAAAGGTAATTCACCTCACTGGTGACCAGGAACATTATTCTGTGAACGTCTGTATGCAGCAAGAATTTGGTCCTTAAGGTGTAATTTTCAAATATTATGATAAAATACCTATCATATATAAAGGAAATTAAACTAAAATTCTATGCAGGTCACACCTCAGAGGTATACCACTTTTAATTTGAAGTGTTGTTGACTGCAAGGTGTAATAAACATTCAGCTGCATTGCACAGGAAATGTATTCTGCCAGTTAATTTCTTTTTTAACAGCACACATAGCAGCAGCTGTTTCTTGAATGTGTGTGCCCGTTTCTTTTGTGTGATATACAAAACACAGATGGAAGATGTGAATGAGGAAAGTATGGTGAAAACTGAATTCACCTGCTGTGACTATAACTGCTTCTGTTAGCTGTTCTCCCCATGCAAGATGAACGATAAGACTCCTTGCCCCCTACAAAAGGAATGTAAATCCTTTTTGTCAAAGATGGAACTATAAAATTAACACTAGAAAAGAGTTACTGCATGAGTAACAATTTGTTGACAAGTTGTGGCTTGCCTGAACAAGTACAATATCTTATTCTGCAGCAGACAGTAATTCTTGAGGACCAATTACTTTCACCATTCATCATTCTGCTAATGGGTAACTGCCTTCCTATTGCACTTTCTACTGCAACTACTGTTGAGAAACATTACTCTTTTAAAAATCAAGTAATTTTGAGTCCTTTAAGAGGTAAACTGCAGTCACCTCTTCCTCCAGAGGGAATTGCAAAGTCTTGGGTTGGACCCTCCAGGATTAGTTTAGCTATGGTAAATAAGGTCATCAATTAGGAACAAGTACTGCAAGACACAGTGCTAAGGCACTTATGAAAAGAGGTGAGATTGTGCTCTTTCAGAAGTGTAATGCTTGCACCTCTTTTCAGAAGCTGATTTTCTGATTGTTTAGAATTCATTGCAAGACTATAATGCCAACAAAGCTTATGACTCTTCTTTGGTTTTCAGCAGATTTCAATTTTGGACAGGCATATATTCAAATCTTAATTTATATTGCTTTCAGTGTCATCTCACCATCTAAGAACGTCATTGATCCCTCCCTCAGTTATTCATACCTGTTTCTGAGAACTAACAAGTTGTCTGAAATTTATGCAGAAAAGTTCAAAGTTTACAAGGCATGAACAGAATAAACCATTAAGGCTGCAGTTATGGTATGCTAGATAGGAATGCTATATGCAGCTACTGCCAACAAAGTACTTGCTGGCCAGGAATTTTTACTGTACATCATACATAAAAACTGGCCTAAACAAATACAAGTAGTGGCCTGCTGTAGTAAAACATGCAAAGTATGTAAAACTAAAAATATATTAGATGCACTATTTTCACTGCAGTCCATAATAAAATCTTTATTTTACATATATTACGTTCTTTGAAAAGCAGAGGAGCAAAAGTATTTAAAATAAGACTTGCATCCTCACTCAGAAGTATTTCACAAAGTTGTATTTTCAGCCCTTATAAAACTTACAAAGACTATTTGTGAGAACTTACTCCAAAGTATACCAGACTTAAAACATTTAGATTTTATATGATCCAACACTGTAAGTTTAAAACCCATTTCCTGAACAATGTGTTGCATTAATCCAAAAAGTGATTTACAACTCAATTATTCCATGTTTTTGTGAGGGAGTTTGGCTCTTTTTTTGTTTGCTTTTGGGGTTTCTTTTGTTTATTTGTTTAAGAAGTCAGCTTCTAAAAGACTAACTTCACAGATTTTAACTTCAATCAGAATTAAGTTCCTCATAGAGCAGTTACCCTGTTTATTCAGGGCTGACATGTAATGATGAATTACCAGTTGTGTTGTATTTTGTAAAAAAGCTGTAAAGATCCCCACATTCTGCAGAAAGCCAAGCTTGATGGTTGTACATTACCAGGATCAGGAGTCCTACAGTCTTGAAAAGAGATCTACTGTATCTTCCTGATAAAGTTAATTCAAATTAAAAATGTACTGTATGAAATATGCTACATAATACATATGTAAAAACATGCCACGCTCTTGGTTAGAGTGGAATATAGTCCAATCAAACTGCTTGTCCTACGGTAAATCAAGGCACATCACCCTTAACTCAGTGCCAGTATGCCACACATCTTTGGCACTGTGAAAGCCCAAAGTCTGGGACACACTAGAGGACTCTTCAGCTGTATCACTACAGGCCTCTGTATCAATGCATCAACAGGTCAGAGACTTTCCTGACCTAATCAGACCATAATTGCAGTTCATTTCACTTCTGCACCAGTAGCAATTTAGTAACCGTCAGTTCAGGTATGTGCTGTAAATTAGGCTTATGCTGCATCATCACAATAGCTAATTTAATGTTCTTTGTTCAATTTATAAGAAATGAAGGATAAAGTATTAGAACTGGTAAGTTTCAAAAACAGAATGATGGGAGAAGGAGCAAAACAATAAAAACACTTGCAGCAAAAAAAATGATGCATTATATACCAAGTTTCATCCTATATAGAAAACATTTGTTTTTATGTGCTGAAGCTTTCTTGTCTGAGCGAGTCACCTTTTAAAGTTTTAACCATGAGAGCTGTTACCACTTTAGCCACCATAAATTACTTTGTGAAGCATTTTTTCATACAGCATTAGAACTGCTACCTCAGTGTTTATGCTTGACTTACTGGCATATTCTCTTAATGAAAAGAACAACCACTGGAAAAGATCTTTGAAAACAAATGTTATGCAAACCATCAAGTTCATGCTGTTTGAAATCCCTTTTCTAGTGTGGAGGCTATGAGTAGGCTCACTAACTCCACAGATGCTCCTTTAATCAAAACGTTCAACAGTCACAGATCATTGTGCAGGTACCTAACTGTACACAATTTTTCTTTGGCCTGCCTCAATTTCAATATAATACAAGTTAGCCAATTCTTGTTCATACACTTGGCATGCCAGTGAAGACTATCTGCTCAGCTTCTTGGGGCAACAGGTGCCCCAAGAATAGATGGGGCCTAAGTCTTTACTCTCAGAATCGGGTAAAGCATTTTGGAATACCTCAATAGTTATAACACATTTACTTTTCCTGACTTTTTATACTGTGTATACATCGTCAAGACACTCATTGGGAAGTTTACAATAGTAGTTTAGAGGATACTGTTTTTTCACTTCTTTCTTTTTAAATCCTAATCAAGTATGTTATCTTGGGTTTTGGTAATAAATACTATTTTCAACAGGGCAATGGAATTCTTGGTCCACAAGGCAAATATAACAAAAAGAATTACAGGCACCATCTCAGTTTTTATTTAAAAGTATTCTGAGTACACAAGTACCTCCTTTCGGTATGAAGAGTCCAGAGGTGTGCGGTTTTAAATTGTTTTTTTGTTTGTTTTGTTTTTAATCTTGTAGCAGTTTCAGATGGAGAAGAAAAAAAGAGGGGAGAACCAAAGTTGATCATGAAGCTCCAAGAGAAAAATTCAAAAACAGAATTGTTAATGAAAACACTAATATGTAAAGAACAAATCTGAAGGTGCAAGCTGTCTATTCTGCTGCAATTTGCTAGCAGGCATTAAATATAATTTGAAGTTTTCTAGGATATTTCAGGAAAAAGTTAAATGCTTGAGGTTCATGGGCATGAGACCAATATTAGCATGCTCAGTACCCAAATTACTGCTGTCTGAAGAATCAGTTGGTCCTGAACTGAGATTAACTGGAGGGGGAAAAAAAATAAGCCTATTAGCAGAAAATAAGGACTACGGGGGCAGTTACAGCATGGTGCCACACTTCTGCACTTCTTTCATTCTACACACAGGTGACCAGATGAGAATGCAATCCAGTCAGTTTTCAGCAGGACACCAAGGAATAATGTAAAGTTTCAGGAAGACTCCTAACTGGACTGTGTTCAGGCACACAGAGAAAAGCAAATTACCCTAGTGCCTATACTGAAAAGTACTAAAGAATAGGTTGACCATAGGCTCAAGATTTCAAGATTCCAGTTTAAGTATTTGCTACTGCCTCTGTAATAGTCAGTTGTAAAAAAGAACTTCATAGTGGCAATTAATTATGGAATGATTGAGTTTTAAAAAAAACCTTACTCTATAAGAAAGATAAACTTATGAGAACATCATTTTAACTTACAACTGTAAACCTGATATTAAAATGTCAAGTGTACTATCAATTCTATAAATATTTTCAGATGTTTAAAAGTTAGATATCCCCATATGCCCATTTCTGGGCTGTAAAACACACTCACAGTGAGACTCCTTGTGTATTAGTTTGAACTACATTTTTTCACCTCATCATTAATTAAGAAACAAGCCTATCAAAATAGAAAAAAGTGCAAAGCTTCAGAGATGACTTCATACCTCAATTTACACCCCAGTCTTGCAAATTGCCTGTCACAGCCATATTCAGAGATTATGTGATCCCCAGAAATATCCTTGTAGTGGAACACTACCTATAAAGGCAAGTCACACATCAGTACACATTTTCTGCATTCCAAGTGCATTTTGCATTCTGTGGATTGCCCTTTACATAAGGTTATGTTATGTATCTACAAATAACAGTTGTCTAGGATCTTCCATTATTAATGCTGAATGTCTCCTTGATTATCAACTTTCATAATATTTGCTGGATTTATTCCGTTTTCTATTTCTTTCTGATGTGATACTGCTGTGACAAACAAATGGGAAGATTCCATTGGAGAATGATGACTGACATCTGCTTTCACTAGAACTTCATAATACAGGAGATAAAAAACTGGAGTTACTATGCCAATAATCAACATAATCACTACTGCTGTCCACCATCCTATACCCCAGTCTGCTCCGTAGTAAGGATCCTTGCATTTTTTAGTTTTACCATCAGTTTCAAAACAGATCTGTTGGGCTGCTAAAGCAGAAACAACTTCATTCAGATTCTCTCTCTTTGTATCATTAGATTTCACTATTTCTTCTATATCTCGATCGACTTCTTTTAAGAAGTTGCCAGCAGTCTCATTAGCAGAGAATTTATCACAAAGAGATGTTTCCTGTACTTCTGGGGAACACAGAGCAGGCCGAAGAGCTGGTTTTCCTTTTGGAGACACGTGCGTTTCAGTCAATACACTGAACTTTTTCACTGGAATTTTGATAGACCTCAGGGCAAAAAAATCTTGATCGTTGATAAGATTGTTAAGTCTCTTGATATCTGCAACCTAAAAATGAAAACAACAGCTATAACATTACACTCCATTGAAACAAAACTTTCTTAATTGTACTATACCCTTAGGAAATACAAGTCTTTTGCAAAGAAACAAAGACAAGGCCTTTGCTTTTGACCTACCAAGTCAGCTCTCCTTTTCCATATTCTTGTTCAAAGTGAATATAATTTTGCTCAAATTAAGTCTAAGGCAAGGCCTTTGGTTTTTATTACCCTTACTTTTTGTTTTTTTTTTAAACTACCCATTCATACAGTATGAAGTCAGAAGAGGTCAAAGACCAAATGTGAACAACTTTACAGCAAGAAGGAAAATAATTATGATGCAAAATCCCCTTCACTTCAGATAAGAAGACTGAAAGTCACTTCACATAGATATATTTACGTGTATGTATGTTCAGCTATCAGTTTGCAACTATCTCTATGCAATTAATGACTTCACCTCACTTTACTTTGAAGTTTTCAAATTATGTAAATTACTGTTAATTTCTAACTCAGTGAAAAACTTCTCAGTTAGGAGTTGCTACAAAGAATGAGTTTGCAATTCATCTAGCCACACTTTTTTTTTTTGCTGCTTCTGGGGGTTAAGGCAGGAAACAAGTGTAACTTTTAAACTGTCATCTAACTTACCCAAGTCAGATATTCCCTTTCCCTATTCTTGCTCAAAATGCATCTCATTTTACTTGCAGTAAGTTCAGATTTTAAGTCGAATGTGAAACACTCTGCAGGGATTTAAGTGCCCTGCGATAATCACTGGCTTCAATTTCAGATGGTAACTCCCTCACTATAGAAGGCACAGCCACAAACTTCACCATAATAAAGTACTTCCAAATCAGTGCTTTTCTGCAACACCTGCAAAGCACACATGAATTGTGCCCATTTGAAGATGCACTGTATCTAAGCTCACACAAACCTTTTTAATGTGTAGAAGTCCTTCAGTTCCTATGGCAGTGTATTTGTTAGGTGTATGATGCTGAATAAACTGGGTAAGAATAAAAGACTGCCAAATGCAGCAATTTATGATTCCACCACAATGCAACTTATACTTTCTGCCTCAAGCTCTTCCACATTCTCTTGAATTTGCAAGAAAGAACACAATTTAGTTATCCTTCCTTTCTTAGTGAGGCCTGACCTCGTAAACCTGCTCAAAATACCCCATTGCAGCAGGTTCTGAAGCCAACACTTGGTAAATGAGGCTATGGTCTGTCATGATTAGAAGATAGCTGTGTCGAGACTTTAATTCCTAAAGTCACAACAGGAGGCCCCCAATTCTGTTTCTGCCTGAAGAATTAGATGACAGCATATTCTGTATATACAAATTTTGAACTGCCATTGACCTCATGGCACCTGTACACTTAGCAGTCAGTCCCACCAACGCACACAGCTGATTTCCTGTTAAAAGTGGAAACATCAACCAAGTCCAATGCCACAACAGCCTTAATGGTACTGGCAGCCAAAATTACTGGGTACGCAGGACATTTACCACACTAATGTAAGAACTGAGCTAGAAGTAGTGAGCACAAAGAAGGGTGCACAAGGTTGTAAAGTTCCCAAAAGTACAGCATAGTCATACTTAAAATACTAGGCCAATTTAGCAGAATTCAAAAGAAAAATACGGAGGATTTTTTTCCCCCTACTTTGATGGAATTAGGGTTCCACACAAACTCTTAAGATAGTTCATCAACACCCTTGTCACCCAGCCCAAAAGGGAGGATGGCACCAGATGTGCCGACCTATGACCGGAGCACAGGTTTGAAAGTAACATGTACTGCGAGAGAAACATGTCACAACCGAAACTATGCACTTGCTTCTCACACTTATGTTAGTTTTAAGGGGAAAAGCCCACGGAACCGGAACCCTGCGCTGTAACACGAACACTCTGACGTAATTTTCCACTTCTGAGAAACACGGCGCTTGCACGCGTTGCCTCCGCGAGCACCCGGCCCGAGACCGGGCACTTACCGAGCAGCAGAACTGCAGCGCGATCGCGTTCAGCGTGTCCCCTTCCCGGATGTCCTTTGTCAGCAGGACGATATCATCCAGCCTGTCCCTCGACGCGCTCCGCCGGACCTTCTCCCTGCCCCGCGGCCGCAGTTCCGACACCTCGCCCTCCTCCTCGGGCCCCTCGCTCTCCGCGCTCACGAAGGGGTACAGGTGACCGCCACCGAGCGGCTGCGCCACGGCGGGCGGCTGCGGGCCGCTGCCGACGCCTCTGCCGGCCATGCTCCGCGGGTGGCCCTGTGGAACGGACCGCAGGCGTGGCGCCCTCCGCGGGCAGCCCCGCTCCGGCTCCTCCTCCTCGCCCCCGCCCAGTTCTCTCCCGGCGCAGCGAGCGCCGGCCAAGCCGCCGCGGGGAGGTGAGAGCACTGCTCTGCCCTGCCCTGTCCTGCCCAGCTGACCTCGCCGCCCCGTTCCGCGGCTCTACTTGCGCCCGCTGCGCATGGGACCCGCCGCGATGGCGGCCGTGCCGCCACGTCCGCAGCGCCGCCACGCCCAGGCGCTTGCCGCGCGCAGCCCCGGGGGCGGGGGTGGCGGGAGGCGGCCCCGGGGCTCGGCCGTGAGGAGCCGGCGGGGCCGGCCCGGCGGGAGGGCGAGTCTTGGCACCGCCCGGCGCTGGCGCTGCTCCGGCCCGCTCCGGCGCTGCCCCGTAAGTCTCCCGGCGCCGCCCGCGCCGCTCCGCCGCGGCCCAGGGAGCGCTGTGGTCGAGGCGCTCGGCAGCGGAGGCCGGAGCGCGGTGCCGGCGCTGGCGGGCGAGGGAGCGCTTCACCCCCGCCTCCCCCTCGAGCCACCCCTATGATCTTGCTGATCCTCCTAGAGAAACGGACTCTGCTCAGATACACGAAGTTGCAATGTATTTGGATCAGAAAGAGGGTTCGCGGCTCCTCTCTACGCTCTGTATCTCTTAGTCCCCCCTGGCTCTTCTCGCCTTGCTGCACCCTCAGAAACACCCAGGCAGTGTCTTTATATCCCTTCACATCTGTCCCCTCAGCACTAGTGCTGCAGAGGTACAGAAATGCAGCCCGCGCTGATCGATACTGCTCACAAGAGAGGTACCACAAATTAAACCCTGTAGATATTTCAACTTTACTTCCCTAGTAGAATATTTTTTTCCCTAAAGGACTGTCAGCAGCTTTTGGGGTGTTGAGGCAATAGGCGGATGTCCTAGCCTAACTAGTAAATTTGATCTACTGTCTTTCTCCTGACACAGCCTTAAAGGGAAGTTTTGGATTACAGCAGGAACAAGAACAGTGTTCCTTAAAAAAAACTGACAGCTCTAAGGTCAGGTTAAATATATTGAAAAACAATTGTTGAAGACTAATGTATTTGCAGGTTTGATTCCTAAATAGATTAAATCTAATCTTAAAATAATTTTAAATTAGGGTTTGTTTTTTTTTTTCTTTTGTTTTTGAACCTTGCTATACAATGTTTCCAGACTTTCCTAAACAACCAAAGTGGTTAGAAATGTGTTTGACATTAAAAAGGACAGATTTTTTTATAGGTTTACTTTTGAAAACTAGATTACTTGAGTTTGAGGACCTAAAAATTCGATCCAGCAATTGTGTAGCTCTATTAAGTGTCACATTCACACTCATAGAAGCTTAATTGAAGCCACATTTCCAGGTACTGTGAAACAAACTGTGAAGGTACATTGTGTTCTTTTATCTCAGCCTTTTTTTTATCTATACCTATATCTCTATATATCTATATCTATATATCTATATGTCTTCCACACACATACATATATTTATCTGTATCTACCTTAAAATAGTATTCTGTTGTGGATGAGGGATGGATCAGTTAAAATAAAGGTATTCCCAATACTTCCCAATTCCCTAGCCAAATTACATCAACAACAAGAGCAGTATATTTCTCTCAAGAGCATAGAGGTTTGCCTGAAAGAATAGAAATAGTCTCAGGTAGAGAAGTCAGCACAAAGCAACAAGCTGGCCATTTCATGCAGGTCTGATCACTGTCCTTTGTGAAGAAGCATGGAATAGAACTAGCATTTAAATGTGATTTCATTCCTGCAGGAAGTTGAGCCTACTTAGTCAAAGCTAATTTTCAGGCTTTTTTATTCTGCATTTGTTGAAATAGCCCGGTGGACACATAGTGTAGTTAGAATTTTCTCAAACCGAAGTTTCTTACAAGCCCTGACACTTTCTAAACCATTTACTAGCCTAGCTGAAGGTATTGTCTTGACACTTGGACCCACATAACATTTTCTTTGCTGAGTGTTTCAGGTGTAATTAATTGTGAACGGTGTGATTTCTCCTAGACAGGCAATTTTTTCTTTCATAGCATCTCCTCAATCAAAGCCTGCTCAGGAATAAGCTTTCTATTTTTATTGTGTGTCAGAAGCACAGCTTGTACTGATTAGCACAGCTGTACCGAAGACTTAGATACAGCCTCACATAGAAGCACTATGCAGCAAAGACAAGCTTGGATAGTCAGATTACATGACAAATGTGTGAACATATTTGTAGGAGTCCCAGAATTATTTTATGTCTTTCTGGGGTGGGGGGTGCTAAATGACAGTAGAATGAACCTTCCACAACTGTGTTTCTGGAAAGAGGAATGTTGAAGATGACAGAATTGAATTAATTTCCCATAAACCTAAAGTTTTCTTGTGGGATCTCAATTTGAAAAAAATTAACTTAGTGATTTAGGATTTCATCTATTAAGTGTCATGCCATATCTGGCAAGGAATATTTGCAGTATCAAGCAATTCCATTTTTTTTTTTTTTAAAGGAAGCTTTCAGTAATAGAAGTGAAGTAACTGCAGTTATCTGTAGCTGGGAAACTGATGACTCAGACCCTATTCATGCATTTGAAAGACTGTTTTATGAGACTCATCAGAGCTGTGGGTGGATCTGTAGAGGAATTTGAATTCAGACTTCATACAAAAGGATGCCTGCAGTGGTGTCTAATGATTGTCCCATCACAAGCCACTAATGGAATATCCTTTTGGAAGTTTTCTTTAATCTTTGGGTGGTGAGGCTACAGCAAAGATCAGGAACAGAGAATTTCACCATTTCTTTTATCTACAGAGGTGTGCCATCAGGTCAAAAAAAGAACTGCTGAAGCAGCACTCTGCCTTAGAAGGGGAAAGAAAGTATTGGAGTTTGCTTTGACCCTGCTACACCCCTGTGTGTAACCATTTGTAACTGGTGACATTTTCCCATCAATAACAAAAGCGTATATTCCAAACTTGATGAACAAGACTGGAGCTGCATAGCTCCCATGAATGCTAATAGGAATACAGCCTTTCTCTATTCCCATGTAAGTTACTTTGCATATCCTAATAAGTGCATTCTCAATAAGCAACAGGGTCAGTGTTAATCACACCATGGCATTCCAACAGCATCTGCATAGATCTGTACCACATTCCTCTTGGTCATGTTATTTCTTGTGTGGCCTGATCACAGAGCTAGGAAGTTAGGTACACACATAGAAATATTAGGAAGATCTTAATAAATTATTAGAAAGGAGTTGTAATGAAAAAAGTAATGTAGAAGGGCTGATATAACTTGTTAGTAACTTTTTATTAAAATCCCTAACATATTCTTTCCATCTGGAATTTATCCCATGTCATGTGCCACCACTGTTTTTCTAAGTCATTCTGTGATTTGGTACCACCAATCTAGATTTACATTTAGAATAGATAGTGTCTAAGTGTCTAAGTGTATGTTTTAATTGCTTGAATGACATGATAAATTATGACTCATTAAGAGATTCACACAGAAATACATACACAGTCTTTGTCTCTGTTTCCTTGCTTGGAAATTGGAAATGGTAGTAAAATTGTTGGAAATAGTAATATCAGGGTAGCTCTGCAGCTCCAATAAAGATCAAAGGAAGTTATTAAGACATGACCATAATGTGCAGTATGAGGAATTTCTTAAGTTCTCTATAAAAATATGCAAGAAGCAAATTATGCTGAATCCACATACACTGCATAGCCTGTTCTCCAGTGGAAATATTTGCATGTATACATTTAGCTATAATCATAGAATTGTTTAGGTTGGAAAAGGACCCTTAATATCACTAAATCCAACCATTGATCTTCAAAACTGCCATAAAGCCTTTTTAGTTAGCAATGGTCCAACAACAGAAATGGGTTAAAAAAACCACAGAATTTAACTGTTTAGTTTATTATTGTTATGGTTTAAATGACAGTAAATGAAGAAATATCATTGGGTTGAGACTGTATATTCCTTATGTAATAATTTACATATTTGATGTTCCCCTTTGGTTACTTGACAGGAATCAGTAACTTTTTAAATTAACTGTATTAATTTAATGTGTACCCCTAATAGAAATATGGCGTGTGCCTTCCACAATACAGCCAGTAGGGTGCATTGGTTGTTTGATATTTTATTTTCAAAAAACTGTAAACAACTCCTTATTTGCTTCTGATTTACCATTTAAGTACCCTCTGAATAAGAAAATCTGTGAGGGAGCCCATTCAGTTATGGTAAAAAGTATGGAAAAATGCAGTATATTTTCTTGAAAATTTCCTTCAAATTGTTCACAGGTGGATTTTTTTTATTAGAATTCCTATCTATTGAATAACTGTTTTGATAACGTAATAATTGAAATTATTTTGGGGGTAGGTTTTGGTTTATTTGTTATTGTTGTTTGGGGTTTTTTCTTGGGGTTTTTTTGGCTGGTTGGCTTTTGGGTTTTGTTTGTTTGCTTTAAAGATTATCATAGATTCCTTACAATATTTACTAGATGAATCTGTAATAAATTCAATCAATAGCTGTCACTATTTCATATGTTTTCCCTGAGTAAAGTAAGGAAACCTTTCAGTATTTATCATGTTTTTGTTCTGCAGGAATATTTGCACTGTCCTCAAGTCTCTGTCTCATTTGTTTTTAGTTAATTAAGCATTCAGAATTTGTTGACTTCTGTTTTCTGCTTTCTCTAGGTCTCGGTTTTGGGTAATTCGATTTATTTAGATCCTCTGGGTTTCAGTATTGTTTTTAAACACAGACACAAGTATTTACGCAATTTCAAATATCAACCCCTTTAGTGCCATGTAGAAAAGTAATTCCCCCACCTCAGCTACTTGTTACTAATCTGCTGTTGATGTATCCGAAAATGACATGTGTTTGTTTTTTCTTTCCCAGTCACAGACACTTAGGATGAGCTGTGTCTCTGCTTGACTTTCTTCAGATGAAAATGATTCAGAAGATCTTTATTTTAGCTTTGAATTACCT